ATGACATTTATAAATGTATGAATCATATGGTGAAAAACTGACTTTGAAAAATAAATCTGTTCTTTTTTTCTTATAAAAGACTAAATAAAACAAAACTATTGGTGGTAATTTTTGACTGTAACTTTACAAACGGCACCCCATACTGTACCTCACACTGAATCTCGTGTCACATATTTTTCTGTTTTCTAATTATTAGACCAGCTTGTTGGCAGAAAGGATTCCAACAGCTGAAGATGTGCAGAACAGGTAAGCATGCATAATTTAAATACTTTATTGGAATAACCGGCATTAAAGCAATAAGTTAATAAGTGTGGCAGGGATTCATTGAGCATTTAGAAGTGTCACAGCTTCACCCAGTAGCTTATTACTGCAGAAACCAAGAGTTTTGAAGAGTTTGTAGATAAAAGTTTACAGTTTCTAATAAATAACTTTCCTCTTACCTGATACATAGTTTTATTTGCATGTTTTAAAAGGTATATGAAAACTAAAATGTGACTTTATGCAGCTGAAAAGGCCCAAACAGCTACTGTCAACAACAAAGTATGAACACATACTAGWTTTTTGCATTTCTAACAACCATTAGAACCATAGTTCAGGTCAATCAGTACAACACAATCTGTATCTAAAGTAGTGTGACCAATAAATGACAAGAGATCATAAAATCAGGAAGCTTTGATGGCGTTAATTATAAAAGTTTATTTTTTTCTTCATTTAGACCACAAACAACAACGTAGATCTGTGCTCCTTTGTGGGATAACTTCAGATTGTTGTGTTTGTGTAACAGGCTGGTGTGGGAGGAGACTTTGTTGGACAGTCTGCTGAACTTTGCTGCGACTCCTAAAGGCCTGCTGCTGCTTCAGCAGACAGGAGCCATAAACCAGTGCATCCGCTACATGTTCTCCCGCTTCACCAAGAAACTGCAGGTAATCTCACAGAGGGAGGTCAGTTTGACTGCTCGTTTTCCTGCAGCCGTAYGGTTTCTCTTCTCCTGTTGTCCTCAGAATAAAGTGACAAAGGGCATTCATAGGATGTCGTGACGTTTTCAGGGTTCTCAGGTGCAGCAAAGCAATGTGCACGATCTAAAACAGAGATTCTTAACCTGTGGGCCGTGAGCGCCACCTTGAGGGCCTCAAAAGAACTAGGCCTGTGTATTGGCAAGAATTTGGTGATACGATACATATCCTAACAGAGGGGTCACGATACAACATATCCCGATATATTGCGATACTGTAAGCAAGGCAATATATTGTGATATATTGCGATATTTTTTGTCCAAAAATTCTATTAAATAAAAACCTCTTACTGAAAAGAAAAGAAAAGCTAATGTTTA